ACAGTGCTGTGTGCTCAGTGACAGTGCTGTGTGCTGGGTGACAGTGCTGTGTGCTGGATCACAGTGCTGAGTGCTGGGTCACAGTGTTGTGTGCTGGGTCACAGTGCTGAGTGCTGGGTCACAGTGCTGTGTGCTCAGTGACAGTGCTGTGTGCTGGGTGACAGTGCTGTGTGCTGGGTGACAGTGCTGAGTGCTGGGTCACAGTGCTGTGTGCTGGGTCACAGTGCTGTGTGCTGGGTCACAGTGCTGTGTGCTGGGTCACAGTGCTGTGTGCTCAGTGGGTTCAGCCTGTGGCACGAAGCTGATCGTGACAGTAGTTATATCACCGACCTTGGGAGCTAATGCAGACCAGGCGTTACACGTGCAGTTTTATTTAATGAGAAGAACGCGGATGCAGCTGGATGCAGCTGGTACTGTCTCAAAGCTCTTAGCTTGGTCAGAGGGAGAACCAACATACAATTTAAGGCATGCGGCTATTGAGATGGCGCATTGTGTGAAGGAGCTTGCCATCAAGCCTGAAGACACAAGTTCAATTCCTGGACCCACCTGGTGGGAGGAGAGAACCGACTCCTGAGTGCTGTCCTGTGTGCATGGCTCGTGTGCACCCCCTACACACAAATAAATGTATAAAAACCAGGGAGGGTCTGGGAATGCAACCATTCGTAGAGTGCTTGCCTAGCATAAACTGGGTGTAGTCCCCAGAACAACAGCATCCAAAAAAAAAAAAAAAAATTGAGTGGTCAAAAAAAGCAATGCTCGGGCAGGAGGTTAGGGGTGTGGCTCAATAGAGCGTTTGTGGGGCAGACATGAAGCCCCTGGTCTGCATGTAAGTTCCCACTTTGGCTCCTGTCAAGCGTGTGTGAGATGCTGGGTTCCTCCTCCAGCAACCGCCAGACCCACACAAGACAAAGCACAGCGTCGCGCACACAGGACATTCCTTGGGCCCATTGGTTGCAGTATCAGGCCACTCACAGCAACTGTATTCAACTGTTCATGTGATGGAGAAAGAAAGCAGAGGACCCCGGAGGACCCTTGACCACGGCTGCTATGGGGGTCTCCAGCCCGGATCTATTCCCTCACATCTCTTGGAGGACCCTATGAGACATGGCCGCCCGCCATCAAGAGTGTCCACTTGTCTCCTGTCCTTACCTGCGATGGCAGAGCTGATGAAGATGGCCACACTGGCGCTGGAAGAGGGTGCTGGCAGGGAGCCCGCCTGACCCTGGAGAAGCCGCTGGCGAGTGCCAGGGCTGAGGGGGCCCGCACTCATGCTTCCCATCCACCTAGGTGATTCTTCCCCAGGAAAGGGGCTGAGACCCATGCACCTCACACCAGCGGCTGAGGAGCCCCCCTGGGAGGCTGGCCAGGCACGGCCATCGGGAAGAGGGGGCGTATCTCAGGCTCTGTGGCCCCCCGGTCACCCCATCGTTCCTTCGGGGATGCCTGGATGCTGTCTTCCACGCTTTGTCTGAAGTGCTAACAGGATGCGGGACAGCGGCTTTCCCAGTGTTGGTGGATGTTGTTGCCTTCTTCAGGCACCAGAGTCGGCTTCCAGCTTCTCGTGGAAGCTTCAGTGGTTACCATAGCAACCATGGTTCGCAGCACTGGGCGCTGGAGCCCAGGGACCAGACAATCTTTCCAACACCTGGCTCCCCTGGGGCCTCTGTGTAAGTTGAGCCTGAGCCCAGGTGTGCAGAGGGAAGCCGAGGGTTTCTGGGAACCATGTGTAGCCCTGGCGTTGGGTAGAGACTCCACTGCATGCCACCCTCTCTGTGCCTCTCCTAAGCCAGTGTTCATGTACCGTGAAAGTTACGCAAGATGGTTGTCTGGAGCACTATGCCGCCCCAGAATGCGTCAATGTCTGCAGACATTTATGGTTGTCGAGAACAGGAGTGCGAGGAACATCAAGTGAGTGGAAGGCTGGGGGCGTGGCTCAGGGTGGAGCCCTGCCTAGAATCCCCAGTGAGGGCTGGGGGCGTGGCTCAGGGGTGGAGCCCCTGCCTAGAATCCCCAGTGAGGGGCTGGGGGCGTGGCTCAGGGTGGAGCCCTTGCCTAGAATTCCCAGTGAGGGGCTGGGGGCGTGGTCAGGGGGTGGAGCCTAGGATCCCCAGTGAGGGGGCTGGGGGCGTGGCTCAGGGGTGGAGCCCCGCCTAGAATCCCCAGTGAGGGGCTGGGGGTATAGTTCAAGGACCTAGAATGCTCCAGTGACGGTGTGGATGGCTCAGATGTAGTCTGGTTTCTAGCCTGCATAAGACCTTAAACCAGAAGTTCTCTATCTATGGGTCATGACCCCTTTGACAAACCTCTATCTCCAAAAAATATTTACATTCTGATTCATTTTGTCTTTTTTTTTTTTTCAGAGCCACTGAGCTAAATCCCCAACCCCTTACATTCTGATTCATAACAGTAGAAAAATGACAGTTATGAAGCAGCAATGACAGTAATCATATGGTTGAGGTCATCACAGCAGGAGGAGCCGTATGAAAGGGCCACAGCGTTATCCGGAAGGCTGAGAAGCCCCCACTGACTCCGCGGAGACGGGATAGGGAGGGAGAACGGAGATGAGGGCAGGGAAGGGAGGGGGCGTCTCTAACTTTCCCCACCTCCCAGACTCATCCATCCCAGAGACAGGCACAGACTGAACCTGTGTGTCCGCTCCTGAGGCATGAGCACGGGCTCCTCCATTGTCTTCCTGGAACGGGGAAGTGTCGAGCGCCCTGGTCCAGGCAAGCGCCCTATCTTCTGTGAACGGAGAGCGACACCCCTCAGGACACCTGTTTTTTGTAAGTCGGGCAGCATCATGGGTCGAGGGGTGAATGCATGTCCATGTAGCCATGGCGACAGGAGTGCGCTAGGCACTGAGAACACAGGCATTTGCAAGACACCAAACACCGTGAGTGCTTGATGGACACATATCTATAGATACAGCTACGTGCCCTATATGTCGCATGCTGTTTATATGGAACATTTATATGAGCTGAAGGAAAGGCTTGGTGGCGCACACCTGCAACCACAGCACGTGGGGTGCTTGACTAGCACACACCGGACCCTGACAGCCCTCAGCACTGCAAAACCCGGCATGGAAGTGCATGCCTGCGATAGCAGGAGTCAGAAGGTGGAGGCTGGAGGATCAGGAGTTCAAAGTCATCCTTACATACACGGTGAACTCAAGGTCAGTCAGGGCTACATGAGACTCTGTCTCATAAACACCAAGGGGGTGGGGGTGGGGGTGGGG